ATATATATATATATATATATTTAGTTGTAGATGGATAGAATACCTTTATTTTATTTATTTTTATGTGGCACTGAGGATCAAACCCAGTGCTTCTCATGTGAGGCAAGCTCTCTACCACTGAGGTACAACCCCAGCCTTTTCTTTTAAAATGTGGGGATACATTAGATAATGTCTAGTGTTTTCTTCTTCATGGTACTAATAAGCCCGGAGTTTGATTTTAATGGAATTTACCATTTGTGAAGATAGTGACTTGTAGATTTTTTGAGAGTAGGAAAAGCAGAAATTTCAACAATACTAAATTCTATGCTGATCATTTTGCTTCAAGAATCACCTGTGGCCAGCTGTGGTGGCGCATGCCTGTAATTCCAGTGGCTAGGGAGGCTGAGGCAGGAGGATCACGAGTTCAAAGTTAGCCTCAGCAATGGTGAGGCACCAAGCAACTTAGTGAGGCTCTGTCTCTGAATAAAATACAAAATAGGGCTGGAGATGTGGTTCAGTGGTCAAGTGCCCCTGGGTTCAATCCCTAGTATACCCCCCCTCCAAAAAAAAAGAAACACCACCTAGCTTATTTCATCTTTCTCTGCACCAATGCCACACCTCTCCTAATTATTTTGAAACAAATTCAAGATGACAAGCATTTTATATCCCTAAATTATTTATTATACATCTCTAAATGATAAGGACTTCAAAAACTATAGATAGTACAATAGGTTTCTTGATTTACAAAATTAGTTAATTCACTATTACATATTAAAAACCATACTAATTCATTTATCAAATATTGCAGTTTTTTTTTTTTCTGGTTGTCTAGTTATTTCTTTACCTTTGTTTTAGTTAATTCAAATTGGGATTTAAGTAAGTTCCCTACATTGTAATTGGTTAATGAGGCCATAAAGTTTATGTGTGTTTGTGTTAGATGGGGTCTTGCTGTATTTCCCAGGCCAGTCTCTAACTGGGATTGAGGAATCTTCCTCTCAGCCTTTGGAGTATTGAATAGCTAGACTATGGTGCCTGGCTGGGTCTCTTCCCTTTTAAAAAATCAATTTGTTAAAATCTTTAGGTGTGTGTTTGTACAGGAGTTTCCAGGGTCTGGATTACTCAGGGGCACTTTGCCCCTGAGCTGCATCCTCAGCCCTTTTTATTTTGAGATAGGGTATCACTAAGTTACTGAGGCTGGCCTTGAACTTGGGATCCTGACAACAGCCTTCCTAGTTACTGGGATTACAGGCATGTGCCACTGTGTCCGGCTGCTCAGTGTTTTTAAAGTGTCTTTAAATATTGTTTAGTTGTTGATGGAACCTGTATTTTTTATTTATTCATTTATATGGGGTGCTGAGAACCAAACCCAGTGCCTCACTCATGCTAGGCAAGCACTGTACCACTGAGCTATAACCCCAGCCCACTGAAGTGTCTTTTAATATGTATCTTTATCATCAGAGGACACTGTAGGTCTATAGACATGATCATTTTCAGGACTAGTCTTTTGTTCTTGTTTTGAGTGAACGGAACAACCCCAACCCTTACACATGATAAGCACATGCTCTGCAACTGAGCTGTAGTCTCATTCCCGCTTTTTACTTTAATTGATAAATGTGATATAGGTGAGAAATGGAAAATTTTTAATGTGTTGGCTGAGCTTTTATTTACCAATGGAAGTAAGGGGTTAATGTGGGCCAGTTCAAGTTTAGGGAAATATTGCAAGAGATGGAGAAGTATGTTGCTTTAAGTGAAAGGTTTTTCTTTATTCTTTGGTATAAACATACCTGATCCATCTCACTAGAAGGTAAGAGAGTTTATTAAATAGGAAAAAATTGCTATTAGAGCTTGGTAAGGTAGCATTGCATTTGTATTGCGCTTTTTGTAGGGAAAAGGATTATTTGCCAAGTCTAGTTCGATTATGTCTCAGAAGAGAGTTGTATTGCCTAGGTGGACATTTGAATCAACCTTGTCTTCCTTCTTACTTTCTTGGCACATGAGTGTTCTTTAATTACATGAAACAGAATTTCCATATTGATTTTTCTGGTGAGCAGTAATGATTGCTTGCTTATTTTATTTGCTTGATTATATAAAACATTAAAATTGCAAATGTAAATCATGTGGGCTGTTAAAACGACTTCTTGGAAACATTCTTCACACTTTCAGGTAGTGCGATTATTGTAGTTTTTAAAGTTGATGAGAAGGTGGTATAATTTGATAATCAGCCACAACTTTCCCACTTAAAAAAACACATCCAAAGATCTGCCTTGGATATGAACCACATCTACTTAGCAGTAATTTGAAATAAAAAGTGTTATGTGGAGATACTCCTATATTTGAAATAGAGCAATTTTAACAGTTTAGTCAGCTTAAATCTCCTCTTTTTTCAGGTAGAGTTAAATTAGTGATGGCTATTTCTATGTGGAAAATAAATATTCTATAAAAAAAACTTGGCTGCTTGATCTTTGTCTTTGACAAAAGAAATAAAACACAATTAGCCTTGCCAAGTTTTAGGTTAGCTCTGTTCTCTACATAGATGAAGATAATAAGGCATGGAGTTTTTTTTTCTTTATTTTTTTGGTTCTTTAGATTGAATCCAGCTCTCTCATTTTACCATTTCTTTATGGTAAAAACTTATAAACCATAATGACAGTGCATTGTTATCTCTCTTTAATGATGTGTGTGTGTGTGTGTATATATATATATATATATATATATATATATATATATATATAAAACTATATATATGTGAATTTACATGTAATCTCAATTTTATAGTAGCCAAATTAAGAAGTAAAAGAGGGCTAGGGATGTAGCTTAGTGATAGAGCGCTTGCCTATCCTGCATGAGGCCCTGGGTTCAATCCCTAGTACCACAAAAAGAAAAAAAGAAAAAAGAGAGACAAGTGATGGGAGACTGAGGCAGGAGGATCGCAAATTCAAGGATAGCCTTGGCAACTTAAACCTATCTCAAAGTAAGAAAGGGCTGGGGATGTAGCTTGGAGATAGAGCACCCTGGGATCAATCTCCTCCAATTCTGCCCAACTCCCCCCCCTCACCCCCCCCACCCTCCCGCAAAAAAAAAGATAAAGATTTGTACAACCCAATACATGTAAAGTAGGAATCCTTGAACATGTGAACAGTATAATAAATCAAGAAATTTTGCTGTTTTTGGTACTGAGTTTCAAATTCATTGTGTGTTTTACATTTACAGAACAACTTAGAGTAGACACATTTCAGATGCTGAGTAGCCGCACAATTGAAGATATATGGTTTTTTAAATCACTATTAAAAATGTTGGTATTTACTGGAAAAAAGTGTAATATAATGATTTTTATAAAATTTGAACTATGAAATATGAGAATGATTAATTTTCAGTGTGATTAAATACCTTAAAGGTTATATATATCTCCTTTATTCACTGGTTATCACCTTAGTTTTTAAGGAAATTGTGTAATTTGCTGTATTGTGTTAATGTTAGACTTTTCAAAGAACTATATGTGTGAGTCATACAGGCAGTGAAGCTTTTATTTAAATAGTAACTTTCTCTGCTGTTAAATTACTGGTATTTCTGTGGGTGGTTGAAATACTGGTGGTAACTTTTGTTGAAAGGCACATTTTTCAGATAAAATCTCAGTGAAGGCTACAGAAATCTTTTGCCTATTCAGGGATTAAGAATTTGTACACTCTTCAGCTTTTTGAAAAATATTAAATTATTTCAAATTTCTCCCTAGTACTGGGGTTTAAACCCAGGGATACTATGCCACTGAGCTACATCTTAGCCCTCTTTGTTATTAGTATTATTTTGAGAGGGGTTCTTGCCAGATTGCTGAGACTGGCCTTGGATTTTTATGATCCATCCTGCCTCCACCTCCCACGGTGCTGGGATTATAGGTGTGCACAACCTCAGCCAGTTTAAATGTTAAAAAGGAATTATATTAGTGGGATACTATGTGATATGTCTATACATGCCCACATTGTGTGATGTTTAAATCAAGTAAAGATTACCTCCTCATTTACCATTTCTTTATGGTAAAAACTTAAAATTATTTTTTCTAGCTTTTTGAAAAATCACATTATTGTTACCTGTAGTCACCTTACTCTTCAACTGTAAGTTTTCACAGTGTTCTGTCTTCCCATCTTGCATGTATCCTATGCAAGTGTAAGAACTTTGACTATACCCTGGTTTTGAAGGAACTGTTAGTCTCTCCAAAGAAAGATGTGGTAACTGGAACTATAGATCAGTGATAGAACATGTGCTTAACATGCTTGAGGCCCTGGGTTTGATGAACAAAAAAACTGAAGACAATGACAACAACAGCAAAACTAAAACAAAACAAAACAAAAACTGGGCTGGGCCGGGCCCCGTGGTGCATACTGTAATTTCAATCTCAGTTGTTTGGGAGACTGAAGCAGGATGATTGCAAGTTCAAAGCCAGCCTCAGCGATTTAGCGAGGCTCTAAGGTACTCATTGAGGCCCTGCCTCTAAATAAAATACAAAATAGGGCTGAGGATGTGGCTTAGTTGGCGAGTGGCCCTGAGTTCAATCCCTGGTACATATAAACACACACCCAGAGAACCCAGAGACATGTACCTGTAGCACCAGATATTTGGGAGATGGAGGCAAGAATATTGCTTGTGTGTCTAGTAGATGATTGAGGTAAGATTGGTCAACATAGTAAGACTCTGTCTTTGCTGAATTTTTTTTTCTTTTCTCTTCTCTTCTCTCCCTCCCCCCTCTCGGAGCTGGGGGTAGAATTCAAGGCCCTATGTATGCTAGGCAAACACTGTTCCACTGAACTGTACCTCCAGTCCCACTGAGACCCTGTCTTAGAAATGGTAGTGTATGAAAGTAAGTATCAGTGATAAGAGTAACACACATAACGTGTACCTTTCCATGGGCTCTACCAGTCCTGGCTTCAGTTGAATTTCCATCCTTATATTTATGGCTGTCCAACTTCTACAAAGATGAAGATAATAAGGCATACAATTTATTTTTATTTTTAAATTTTTGATGCTTTAGATTGAATCCTGTTCTCTCTCATACTAAGCACATACTCGACCACTGAATTATATGCCCAGCTAAGGTGTGCAGCTTTGAAAGATAAATATATTTCTGTTTTAGCTAAGGGGCTGATGACAACATGCATGTTGTTCCCATGGAGATCTAGGAGCTGGGGATGATGGAAGAATCACCTTAAATTCTCACTTAAAACTGTAATGTTAAGGGACTGAATAATTGCCTATTTTGAATTGGGCAATCTGTTAACCACTGGAGTGTATAACACTGAATAAGATAGAAGTAATTTTTCCCTTAGGGGACTTGTCTTGTTAATTAGATCTCACTGTCGTCCACTCCACCCCTCTACCCAGTTTAAATCAGTGTGTGTGTACAAGTATGTGCATATATATGTAGTCACATTCTCCTGCCCTATCCCGAGATTTTATTTAAGGAAGTCTGTGTTAGGGGTCCTAGAATCTGCACTTTAAGCAAGCTTGTGGTGATTGTTTTTGTTTTTGTTTCTTTTTTTGGTACCAGGGATTGAACTCAGGGGCAATTGAGCCACACTGCCAGTCCTTTTTATATTTTATTTAGAGACAGGGCCTTGGTAAGTTGCTGAGGCTGGCTTTGAACTTGTGATCTTCCTGCCTCAGCCTCCCAAGATGCTGGGATTACAGGTGTGAACCACCACACTGGACTCATTTTTCTTTTTTGATGGAACCCCTTTACCAGTGAGTTACATCCCCAGACCTTTTACTTTTAAATTTTGGGACATGGTCTTGCTAAGTTGCTCAGGTTGGTCCCAAGTCCCTGGAATTACAGGCATGTGTGCCAGCTCTTGTGATGATTTTAATCAGATGTAGGCTGTCCTTAGACCACACTTGGAGTGGCTTGCTTTGTAGTTGAGGAGACTGCATACTGTCTTTTCCTTTGCATGAATCCGGTATTCAGTTTACTATAATCTGGCATCCCCTTTTAACAATAACCTGGGGCCTCTGTCAATCCAATAGGTATGATTCAGTTTTTCACAGGAATCTACTAACTCAATCTCAAGATTGCTGTATATCCTTTCTATTTTTATTGATCTTCCTTAAGACTGACTTAAAATGTGTGATTTCTTTTGCTGGACTGTAAAACCTAGGGGGAGCTGATGATTAGGTTATAATGGATTATTTCCCTTTTAATAATTTGTTTTATTATAAAACACAGGAGCTAAAAGAAGCTAGCTCTGTGATTCTACCAGCCAGAGTTTATTGCTGTATGTTGTTGGTGCTGTGTGTCTCTTCCTTATTAAGTTTGTGGATATGTGTGTGCGCGCACACACACACATGTATGTGAAAAACTTTGCCCTACTCAAGAATATTTTTTATTGCACTAAAACTCATTTTTAAATGAGATTGTATTCTATGTTCATTTTGTAATGTTGGGACTATTTTTTTGTACTGGGTATTGAACCCAGAGCCTTATGCATGCTAGGCAAACGCTACACTACTGAGTACACCCTTAACCCTCAAATGTTTGAATTTTTTTTTAAATGAATGCTATCATGAAATGTGTTCATTATTCTTTCACATTTGTAATGTCTCCATTAGATTTTGTTACATATAATTTAGTGAATCTCTTTTTGCCTGGGTCTCTAGATTCTTCCTAGTTTTCCCTGTTTATAAGATAAATCTTTGAGCATGTTACATAAGGAAATGATGTAAGAATGAATCCTTGAGTTATAGGTAATACCTCTTGTCAGAGGATTTGGTAAGACATTGCCAAATTAGCAACGAGGCAAAGTTATACCAAGTAGCAGTGGTCCGTTAATACTCCTACTTAGAGTATTAACCTTCTCAAAATTGAAGTTGATTTTTTTTAAAGAACTAATTCTTAACTGTATAAAATAAGAAGGGATATCTATAACTACCTTGTAACAGTATTGTATTTATCCAAACTGAACAAATTCCTCTGGGGCATTTGAGCTGGAATAACGGTTTGTAGCCAGTAGGGAGTGCCACCAAGTGGCAGGTCAGAGAGTCCACATTGTACTGCTCTTCGTCTCTACGTGGTAATGAGCAGTTCAAATGTGGATCTTGTATTCCAATCCTTGGCATAAGAAAATTGGGCAAAGAGGAACAATATACAAGTTAGGCTTGGCTTTCTCCTCCTGCCTTCAGGCTTGTTAGCAGTGTTAGCTCACTGTCTGAGCCTCAGTATCTTTCATCTATGAAGTGGGAAAGAGTCCCACTTGATTCTTATAAGTGTTGGTAGAAAGAAAGGGGTGAGACAGAGAAATAAGATAAAGAAAATGTACTTTCAGTACTTGAAGTTGATCTGAATGAAAGGTTCCAAGGCTTGTGTTGGAATTTCACATGAAATAACTAGATTCACAGTACCTGAATGCCTGTGTATACAGTTTTCATAAACTCTCAAAGCAGAGGAGTAGTTCAGTTTTCAGTATAATTGCCTTCCTTCTTCCTTTCTTGGTGTAAATATACAGGTTGAGTTGAGGTTGATGATCTCTTATTTGGTTGGTGGTTTTTTTGGTTGGTTGTTTTTTTTTTTTTTTTTTTTTTTTTGGTGGTATTGGGGATTGAACCCAGGGCCTGCCTTATGCATGCGAGGCAAGCACTCTACTAACTGTACTATATCCCTAGCCTGAGGATCCCTTATTTGAAGTGTTTGGGACCATGAATGTTTTGGATTTAGGACTTTTTAAAATTTTAGAGTATTTGTATACATACATAATGAGTTATCTTGGGTAGGGGACCCAGGTCTAAACACAAAATTTGGTTTTCATATATACCTTATATACATAGGTTGAAAGTAATTTTATATAATATTTTTGGTACATTTGTTTTGACTGACCCATCACATGAGGTCAGATGTGGAAATTTCCACTTTTGGTATTGTGTTAGGTGCTTAGTGCTCAAAAAAAAAAGGTTTTGAAGTGTTTCAGATTTGAGGTTAGAGATGCTCCACCTGAATAACTTTGTCCATTATATTGAATTTGAATAGCAGATTGTAGTATGTAAATTATGACTGTTAGGTTTAAAGCTAAGGGGTGGGCTGGGGATGTAGCTAAGTGATAGAACATTTGCCAAGCAGGTGTGAAGCCCTGGGTTTGATCCTTAGCACCACATAAAAATATATAAAGATATTGTGTCCATCTACAACTTTAAAAAAAAAATTAAAGCCAAGGGGTAAAGTGAAAATTTTGCTTAGGATTAGCATATCTTTTTACCTTGAATATAACTTGCAATTTGTACTTATAAAAAATAAATGAAATAAAAGTATTTTTTTTAAATGTGGTGCTGAGGATTGAACCCAGGACCTTGCTCGTGCTAGGTGAGCGCTCTACTGCTGAGCCACTATCCCAGCACACAATTTGTACTTTTCACTGAGTTTTTTTAAGAGAGAGTGTGTGTGTGGGGGGGGGGGGGGGGGGGGGGGGGAGAGAGAGAGAGAGAGAGAGAGAGAGAGAGAGGAGAGAGAGAGAGAATTTTAATATTTATTTTTTAGTTTTCGGCGGACACAACATCTTTGTTTGTATGTGGTGCTGAGGATCGAACCCAGGCCCTCACTGAGTCTTTTTGATGTGGTTATGTTGTTGGTTGGATTATAAGTGAAATCGGTAAGACTTAGTATGGTTAGGAGGACACACTTCTTCAGAGCCAGAATGCCCAGAGGTGGATTCTGACCCTGTCACTAATAAGCATGTGTTCACAAACAAATTAAACTACTTTTGGCTTTGTTTGCTACTCTATACAATTCTGTGAAAGTTAAATAAGAATAAACAAAGCTTTTTTTTGTTTATATTCTTTTTTACGCCAGTTGTCAATTTTACCAGTGGAAGAAAAGATGGAAATATCAAAGACTTTCAGTAAAACCCTGGTAACCTAAAATTTGAATTAGAAATAATCAGTATTAAATGCATGTTTTACTTTTGTTCCAAACAAATTGCATTTCCTAGCCCTGGCTTTGAAGCAATGGCCAATCCAATAGGATGGACAAGATTATAGTTTCTGTATACTTATAGTATACAGAAGTATACTGTATACTTCTAGTGCTCCATAGATAAAGCTGACTGCAGATGGGGGCAAAGGATGTAAAAGTTTAACCTGAAATATCATAGCAGAAAGCAAAATAGCCCTCAAGTTGTAGTCATGTAGAAAGATGTCGGAGGCAACACAAAGAGGCCATTTACTGGCCAAAGATGGGGGAGGTCAAGCATCAAAAAGAATTAGTGCAATGGGTTAATATATACAGTATTTATGAGTCTGTGATTTCATGAGACTGAAAAAAACTAAAATACTTGATTACCTTTGGACAATGCCAGGACACTAAGTTATATTCTGAAAAGAAAGAATGATGTCTTTGGATCTTTCTTTCTTCAGTACTGGGCATTAAACCCAGGGATAGTCTACCACTGAGCTATATCCCCAGCCCCTTTTATTTTATATGTTGAGACAGGGTCTTGCTATGTTGGTCCTTGCAAAATTGCTGAGGTTAGCCTCATCCTCTGAAATAGCTGGCATTACATGTGTGTGCCACCACATCTGGCTCCTTTTTAATTCTTCTTTTGAGACAGGGTCTTGCTAAATTGTCTGGGCTGGCCTTGAATTTGTTATTCTGTCTCAACCTCCAGACTTGCTGGGATTACAGGTGTGCATCACTGTGCCTGGCTGGACTCCATGAAGTTGAGACAGAGACGAGGATTTGTCCATTAAAGGAGAATTAAATATTAATCAATTGAAGGAATTGTATTTGGTGTTATTGAGAGGCAGTGGAAACTGTAGCAGTGGGAGGAAGTAGGTCACTAGAAGCATGCTTTAGAGGGCACGTGTCATCCCTGGCACCTGGCTTACATGTGTTCTTACTTGCTCTCTGGTTCTTGGACACATTGAGAAAGCAGCTTTGCTTCCGCCTTGATGCAATATGTAAAATCCAGAATTAGATAATAGTATTTATTA